AGTGATGGCTAACCTTTTTGTCGCCGAGTGTTGAAAGCGCACATGCAAGCACCCATAATGCAATGCATGTGTGACCCCCCCCCCATGATCCCCATGCATTCATGACCCAGGATGCTCGCGCCCCCACACGACCCCCTGTATGTGCCCCTCCATTCATGCACGCATGCTCCCTGCAACCCCCACCCCTCATGCCTAAGTGTATGATCCCCCTGCATGCACCCCACCCTTGTGCATACACACATAACCCCCTGACATGCGCCCCCACACATGCATCCCGCCCCCCATGCATGCACGGCAGAAACCCAAAAACCAGCTAGCCAGCCACATGCACATGCTTGGTAGAGCTAAGCTGGGGTGACGGCTTGCGTGCCCACAGAGAGGGCTGTGCATGTCCCTTGTGGCACGTGTGCCATAGGTTCACCATCACATTCTATAGCTTCTCTGATTCTGTGCTTCTGCTTCTTGTCCTTGTCCTTGCTGCCACATTGCAAGAGCTGCATGGGTCTTCTATACATGCATCATGTTTTATATTATTGTATATAAACAAGTTTCTTCTATGAATGAATCCTGATAAATTATTTACTTGTGCGCTGGTGGGATTTATGCAAACATTATAGACTCAGAATACATGCAAATAAAAGCATCTATAAATAGAAATGATACTTATATAAATACAAATTCTTTGTATTAAATTGTTTTCTTGACTTTTGTAGTATGTTGTGCTGGGTATGTTTTCCTCTAAGCTTCTTAGAGTTGTCTGAGAAATTACAACAGAGAAGTACCTTAAATAATTAACAGTGCAATCTTAATCCCAGACCATGTAGCTCAACTACAGTTACTGTCAGATTAATGGCATATGACTGCTCTTAAATATCTATTAGGTCCAACAACTCCGCACTCTCTCTTTCCTTTTGTAAGATTGTTGTTCATGTGACTCAATTCCTGCTAGGAGTTTGCCTCAAACTAAACCAACTTGAATATCAATTTCAGGATGGGTATTTTATGGTTTGCTGAAGGAGGAATGACTTAGAGCTGTTCACCGTGATTTGGACAAGATTTCTTAAAGTACTTAAATACTAGATTTCTTAAAGTAGTTAAGCCAGAGATGGTATTCCGCCAGTTCTGACTGGTTCAACCGAACCGGGAGCGGAAATTGCGGGTGGCTCTGCCCACCCGCCCCAGCTCTACGGCATCCTATTTAGGCCCCCTTTTTAGGCAAAGCGCATACATGGAAGGCAGAGCGCATGCGCGGATGCGCACTCACATTTGCAAAAGTGAGTAGGGAAGGTAAGTGAATGCCATCCCTGAGTTAAACAAACAGTGTTCTTACATTCATATCACTCTGCTTATTAACTATGTTCGGCACAAACTGGGATGGTTATAATTTAGCATTTCACATCAGCTTTGCAGGTCGGCTCTTTGGATATCAGAATAAAACAGCACCATCAATAAGCCTTTTCTTCATTTATGTTTTTCAGAAATAACACCTCACCCCCAAGACATGGAAGCTATCATTAGACTGGGCAAGAAAACACATCCCTCTTAAAAACTTTCCATGGATTTCTATGAGCAAGTGCCATGCTGTTATTGTGTCAGGCTGTTAAAATCTGAAAAATAACATGCTGCCTCTGTCAGACCAAGTGAAGCAAGTGGCAAGAAGACAATTGGTTCATTCTGTTGATTAGAAGAGCTTCAGGAACAATGCCTTCAAAAGTCTCGTGTTTATATGTCTTGACAGTTGTGTGTTGGGCAAGTGCTTTGTGGTACTTAAGCATAACACGTCCCACTTCCTCCTACACCTCCTCTTACACTGTTCACAAAACGTATGACAGCATCTCAATGGCTCGAAAAAATGTTTCCTTTGGGAACATAAGGACTCGACCAATAAACCCACATTCATTTGATTTTCTCATCAATGAGCCAGAGAAGTGTGAGAAGAACACTCCCTTTTTGGTTATTCTAATCAGCACAACACACAAAGAGTTTGATGCGCGACAAGCCATCCGGGAGACATGGGGAGACGAGAACAACTTCAAAGGCATTAAGATCTCGACTCTTTTTCTTCTGGGGAAAAACACAGATTCTGTGTTAAACCAGATGGTTGAGCAAGAAAGTCAAATTTTTCACGACATCATTGTGGAAGATTTCATTGACTCATATCATAACCTGACCCTGAAAACATTAATGGGGATGAAGTGGGTGGCCACGTTTTGTTCAAAAGCCAAGTATATCATGAAAACAGACAGCGACATTTTCGTAAATATGGACAACCTTATTTACAAGTTGCTAAAACCGAACACCAAGCCAAGACGAAGGTACTTTACTGGCTACGTCATCAACGGAGGCCCCATCAGGGATGTCCGGAGCAAATGGTACATGCCTAGGGACTTGTATCCTGACAGCAACTATCCGCCATTTTGCTCAGGCACAGGCTATATATTTTCTGCCGATGTAGCAGAGATGATTTACAAAACTTCCCTCCATACTAGACTCCTTCATCTTGAGGACGTTTACGTGGGACTCTGTCTGCGGAAGCTTGGCATCCATCCTTTCCAAAACAGTGGCTTCAATCACTGGAAGATGGCCTACAGCCTGTGCAGATACCGGCGTGTTATTACGGTACATCAGATATCCCCTGAGGAAATGCACAGGATTTGGAATGATATGTCCAGCAAGAAGCATCTCAGATGTTAGGACTTTTTGAGATGTAAATACTTTGGTTCTTGTTATACAAATAGAGAGCAAACAGACAATGAGGTGTTCACTTCTAGGAGGAAAAAAAAATCTTAATAATATTTTGGTTGGCTGGTCTCCCCAGCTATAACTTCTGGTTTACAAACTGCAGGTCCTAATATTATGGTGTTATTCACATCAGTCCAAACAAACAAAAGAGGCATTTGTCTTGTCTAGTCTATCCAGCATATGCATAAGAAGATGAGCATAACAAGCATAACATAAACATTCATTCCCATCAGAAAGGAACCCTTCTGTAAGGCAATGGTGGGTCATTGGTTATGAGGAAAATTCACCTTCACAGAAATCAATTTTTAAAAATGCAGGCTGAAATGGTGCCATGATAGGCTTTATTCCAAATTAAATGCCACTTTATCACCAAAGAGCCCTTGCATCAAGATGGGGAGCCACAATAAGGCTTCTTCTAGTTAAAATGGGAATAGATACTCCACCCCACCCCTCCCCAAAGAATAGTCCATCCTATAACCACCTGAGCCATGAGGACCAAAAAGTCTGAAAGAAAATGAGCAGGTAAACTTGAAAATAGCAATAGCACTTAGACTTATATACCACTTCATAGTGCTTTTACAGCCCTCTCTAATTGGTTTACAGAGTCAGCCTATTTTCCCCAACAATCTGGGTCCTCATTTTACCCATCTTGGAAGGATGGAAGGTTGAGTCAACCTTGAGCCTGGTAAGGTTTGAACTGCCAAATTACAGGCAGCTGGCAGGCAGCAGAAGTAGCCTGCAGTACTGCACTCTAACCACTGCGCCACTGTGGCTCTCTCATGATAGGATTCAGAATGCATATTGTATAGATTGGTGTCCATGCATCACCTCTTCCAATGACCCAACCATTTCCCCCTAAATTCAGATATGAGTAGCAGCTGAGGTAATAAATGGACCATAGCTAAGAGTAATTTGTTTTCAAAGTTACTATTTTATATATAGAAACATGTCAGTGTTTGAACACAAGCCTTTTGGATCCCTGCCTCCTCATTTAAAAACCCTACTTCCACTTAGCAAAAGTAGGCCTTATTGAAATCAACTGACCTCCTTTGATTAACAATAAGTGTTGTCAGTAACGATAAATGTATGGACAAACCAACAACCACTGAAACCGTGCCAGAGACCAAAGGAGAGGTTTAATTTTCCTGAGTAAGATTGGAGAGAGATGGACTTCAGGATAGGAAACTTGAGGTTGGATCCTTCTTACTGTCATTATAAATGACACCCAAGACTAGCTGATCTGGTATCAAAACTCTTGGAAATCCAACTCTTGGAGGTTGGAGACAAGTTTTTTAAAGGAGTTTAAAAGGAGTTGGTCCATGGAGTGTAGCAAGGGAACAATAGAACCTATATCCTTTACTACTATCCATCCTGTGGAAGAGGAAATTTAAAAATATGTTGATACCAACATCTCTCTCTCTCTCTTTCCTACTGTTTTTTCAAAGCATGGAGATCACATACCCTTCACAGTTGGGTAGGCTACCATTCCAAATTAGATTGTTCTGTCCCAATTTAAAATATTCTCCAGAATGTAGTCATAGATAATTTTCTTCATTGTAACAACCTTGCCAAATGCAAGATCTACTCCTTGCCATCTATAAAGCTAAGGTGTCAAAAGGTATCGGTAATAATGTCAATTTAGTGATGAAGAAATGTTTGAAATCTCACAGGTGTTTAAAGGGGGAAATTGCTAAATGCTGTCATTACTTCCCTTTTAACAATGGAAGTACTTGCTTTTAATGTTGTTTACTAATTGAAAATCAACGGTGCCACTTTATTTGCAGGAATAGTGTTTAAAAAATCAGTAGACATGCCGCATAACTAAGGAAGGAATTAGCATTACTGTGATGTAACCAAATGCTAATAAACAATATGTGTAATTATGGATTGGAAGATAAGAAAGTTCACAACCAAAATTCTGAATGGAACAGTGTTAAAAACATAAATAGTTTATTGCAATTTTTGAGATTCTCAGTCATCCAGGTCATGGTTGTCCCAAAGGTGCTTTTTTCAGGAGGCATCTGGACTTTCTGGTTTTTCTTTGAAGATGTTTCCCTTCTTGTCCAAGAAGCTTCTTCAGCTCTGATTGGATGGACCAAGAAGTCCAGTTATTGCAACACTTTGCTTTTTAAGGAGCTCGTGTGTATTTTTAAGTGTAAAGAATGCCCATTGGGATTATAGATCTGTATGCTTTAAAGAAGGGTGAGGGAGGGAACTAAAAGGGCCATGAGTTAAATATGAATTTATTTATTCCTCATTTGTGCCCATCCAAATGGCTTTATCAATGGTAACCTTTGAAATCGACAACCATCACAATTTGACAGACATGCTGGTATTTTATTCATTTACAATACAAAACTCTGTTTGACATTGTGACCAGTGGTAATGCATATTTTTAAAAGCCAACAGATATCATGTTTATGGAATCCAAGTTCAGTTTGGTGATTGACTTATTCTCCAAAGCACCAGAGGGGCAGTAGAAGACGTAACTGGGGGTAGACACGTGTTACAGAGTGATCCAACCTAGAAGTAAGTAACAGGAATAAGAATTAACAGGAATAAGAACACAGAAAATGGGTACAAATAAATGGGGACGGTAGTAGGATAGGGACATTAGGCACACTGGTGCACTTATACATGCCCCTACCGACCTCTTAGGAATGGGTGAGGTCAACAGTAGACAGTTTAAGGTTAAAGCTATGGGGGTTTGAGGATATAACAGCGGAGTCAGGTAGAGCATTCCAGGCATTGACCACTCTGTTGCTGAAGTCGTATTTTCTGCAATCGAGTTTGGAGCTTGTGTTTGTATCTATTGTGTGCTCATGTATTATTGCGGTTGAAGCTGAAGTAATCATTGACAGGTAGGATGTTGTAGCAGATAATTTTGTGTACTACGCTTAGGTCAGACTGTAGGCGGCGTAGTTCTAGGTTGTCCAAGCCCAAAATTCCGAGCCTGGTGGCGTATGGTATGGTATTCTGTTGCAAGTAGAGGAGCGGAGGACTCTTTTGGTGAAATACCTCTGGACTCGCTCAATTGTGTTAATGTCCGACATACAGTGCGGATTCCAGATTTTAATCAGAATGAATAAGAGAGATAATTCCTTGAGATGAGTAGCAAGCAGCAGTGACTGAATGCCTCCTGAATCAAAGATCTCTTTTAGGCACCCTTCATTGGATTTTTTTGGACATCTGACTCCACTTGATTGCTAGTATATTTTTGAACATGCTTCGTATGAACGGATAAATCATAATTCATGAATAGTGGAGATATGTCTAAGAACACCTACATTAATACCTACTAGGTTCCCAACCCTCCTTGACATATACATATGTCTAGGAATGCTTTAGAGCTCAGCCCAAGCCTATACACTCCAACGTATGCTTAGTTGTCTAGGGTGGGGTGGGTAAAGCCAAGGTAAATGGATAAGGGCATAAGAGAGAGAGTGAGCTTAATCAATTGAGGAGAAGATAGAAGGCAGAACATCTTTTAGGAAGTGAGAGCTTCATGTCAATGTTTAGCATGGCAACTATTCTGTGAAGAGGGAAGCCACCCCCTGCTGAAGCAACCATTTCGTGAGAAAGACCACAGATGGTCTCAGCAATTCACTAACTCAAAAAAATTGTCTATCCTGAGTCCTGAATGTCTTTTTATTGTGTTCAGTGATTGCAGTGATCAAAGAAGTGTATGAAACACCCTGCATAGATCATATATGTTATTATTTAATTACTATGGTCATGTGCAGCAACTACATAATTCGGCCAGCCAAAGGAGATGGATGTTGCTTGATAGAAACTCCTCTTTAAGTGGAAAGGCAACTGATTAATCCATTTTATCCTATGCATAGAACAAGGCTGTCACTCACTAAATTGTTAGTCCATATTGTTAGATAATTAATTAGTTTCAGAAATGATCATTAGGCACTGCTCAATATAGTTTCCATATAGTCCTTGCAAAGGAAGTCACTTCTAAGTATTCTAAGTAAAGAAATAAATCAAGTCCCAGGCAGTTACCTATCAGAGGGTATATAATACAGCCAAAACCAAGATCTCAAGGGCCTAAAAGTTCTTCAGAATAACAGAGTTGGAAGGGACCTTGGAAGTCTGCTAATCCAACTCACCACTCCGGAAACCTCCTGCTCAGGGAACCTGCTGTCCCACTGCTCAGGAAACCCTATATAATTTCAGACAAATGGTTGTCCAAACTCTTATTAAAAACTTCCAGTGTTAAAGCCCAAGTTGTAAGCCCAAACTTACAACTTCTGGAGGCAAGTTTTCTCCTTAGTACTAGGTTGCTTCCCTCCTTAATTAGTTTCCACCCATGGCTTCTCGTCCTGCCCTCAGGTGCTTTGGAGAATAGCTTGACTCCCTCTTCTTTATGCCAACCCTTGAGATATTGGAACACTGCTATCATGTCACCCTGTGGCCTGCTTTAATTATGAAAAAGGATCAATTGCACTTATAGATCAAAAGGCTTAGCAACAGAAGAGCAGAATTCAAGCCACAAAGAAGCTTTGAATTGCACTGAGCACACATTAACATATATTAAAATCTTTAAAGTGTTATTTAACTGGTTCTTCTTGTGTCAAATAGTTGGCTTGTCCAGTGTTTCCTGGCTTTTTTAATTGCTCTTTGCACCACTGCTTAGATAAGAGGACGTTAACAATGTAAGCTGAAATTTTTAAAAAAACTTTTTCTCTCATGTCAAATCTTGACTTCTCCAAATGGCTCACTGATCATTTTCGTCTGGTAGACTTTCTTTTTCTGATATGAAGGAAAAACAAAATAGCAATGAACCTTTACAATAAGTTGGTATTTGAGGGGCAAAATGATCAGTCTTCTTTGGCCATCCTTGTTGGTTATAAAGAAATTGCTGTGAGTTTGGAGAACATGGGGCTGAGAAAATCTGATCTACAGATGCTACTTTATCCAAGTCCACTGTATTTCCACATAACACTTTCCTACCCCTGTATTCCACTCTCTCAATAGTCCTACCATCCATATCACTTCATCGTGGGAGGGATCAAGATGGATTATGGGTTAACTTCACCTCTTACGGAAAGTTCTTGGGCACCATGACGGCATGACACTGACAGGAGAGACATGAGCAGAAAGGAGAGCTTGGCTTGGGCTGGAAATTCACCCCCTGAAAAAGAGGCAAATATCACCACCTTTCCTGCACTTTGCTCCTGTCATAATTGGCAGCAAATCCCAAGAGATCCAAAATGAGAGTGCAAGAGAGATAGGCCAAGCATTCAGGGTGGAGCTTCATTTTAAAAACAAACAAACAAAAAAACAGTAGTAGGCAGGGGTGGGTTCTGGCAGGCACTACTGTCGGTTTGCTTGTATATGCGCCACATGCGCATATAAAGTGCAATTAAAAATGCTTTTGCATATGTGCAGAAGCAAAAAACAAGATGGCGGCGCCTCAACACCATCCAGAGAACCAGTTCGGGGGCCTGGCAGGCCTGGGTCACTGCCGGTTCCAGCGACCCAGGTCAGCAAATCACTACCGGTTCAATTGAACCGGTAGGAATCTACCACTGGTAGTAAGGCAATCAAAAGACCAGCAAGGATTCAGAAGGCTTCATTGTCAC